TTGCGCAGAAGGATGGAGGCCCGGCTCTTGGCTCTCCGTACCAGCAGCGGTGGCCTCCCGGGGTCTCGCTGTGGGAAGTGTTGCCGAACTTCAGGCAAGTTAGGATGTAAGGAAGCTTCGAGGAGGCCAGAGCAGCCGTGGAGAAACTGAGAGTACTTGATCTGTAACTCGCAAGTCAAATCTATAAGAATTGCCGGTATACTCAGTGTTTTACGTACCAGAAGATTTCCACAGGTGCAGTATTTCAGAGGCATCCAGCGTGTAACCACCTGTTACAAAAAAAAAAAAAAAAGAAAAAAGTGAAGCCAGCTGATTTTATTTTGTAGGATTGAAGCAGCTCGATGCCCAGATGTGGTTGTGGCACAAATAGACCCCAAAAAATTGAGAAAGAAGCAGACAGTAAACATTTCAGTAAGTTTGAAAGCTTTTACATGTTTTGTGAGAGAAAAAATTAAGGGGAAAGATGTTAATATAATAATTGTACTAATTTTGGGGAGTGGTTGGCATATCTAAATAGCACTGCTGGATTTTAAAAGCATCTGCAGAATTAAATGTCTGAGTTTGAAGAAACACCTATTCAGCTGCTGGCTAACAGCAGTTTTTATAACTGATTTAAATTGATAATATAAATACTATTTGATACACAGCAGACTTCTACTGTCTGGTGAAATCAAATGTCACATTAAATTTTACAAATATTTAATCATAAAACCTCATAAACTTTAGAAGAAAGGTATCTCCATACCTATATTTAGGTTGAAATATATATCTAGGGTAAAGGTAGTAAGTGCAGCTAAGCTTTACTAAAGTTTGATGAAATTCTAGTACCACTTCTTTCCTTTTTGGTGGAATATTTTATTGGAATTTTTCTGTTGTCACAATGCCCTGCCAGCTTGGTTTTTAATCTACTTTCACATAGTTCAAGAGACCAAGTTTGCCTTTTGCTAGTGAAGACTGTGTAATCTGAAATTTTGCTACTAGATGCTCAAGAAAAGCTTCTAGTACAGACATATGACCATGTAACTTCTGTGACCATTCTCGTCACTTGTCTCATCTCTTTGTAGTGGTATTCTTAAACATTTGTAGAAAGATTTTTTTTTTTTTAAATAACTCTTTCATGCTAATCTTTAAAGAGGTTATATCTACTTAACTGTCAGAGTTGATCTCTGAAAAGATATTTTTGTGGTCTTCTGTCTTCCTCAACTTACCTTGGCAAGTAGAACACCTAAGATTCATAGCATCTGTCCAAGATAAGGAAACAGCACTCTGCTTTTTACAAACAGGGAAATTAAGGCAGAACAATTGCTAAAAAGATGACTTTAAATAATTCTTTGACAATGTATTTTGAATACTTAGATATTCCTCTTATTTGCATATGAGAAGAGTCAAACAGAAGAAATATTGTCTAAATGAACTGTTAAGTCAGTCTTGGATGTGGTCATGAAATTACCTTTCTTAAATGAAGATTTAAAGGATATTGTTCACCTGATAGTAAACATTTACTTACTCTCTTGTTGTTAAGGATTCTTCTTATAAAGCTTTCTTTACATTATAATTATTGCCAGTGTCTTCTTAGATTTCTGGGTGTCAGCCTGCTCCTGAAGGATACTCTCCAACACTCAAGTGGCAGCAGCAGCAAGTGGCCAATTTCTCAGCCGTTCGTCAGGTACAAATTGGTGTGTGTGAGGGGACGTGCACTGTCTAGCTGGAACACATCTGTGCTTTACAGGGCACGACCTTATATCTAGTATAGAAAAGTTATGATGCTATGGTAGGACAGATGTTTGTAGGCCAATGTTTTAAGTTCTTGAAAAGGAATTGAGTATATACTGTGTGGCTTTTAAACTTCTCATAAAACTCTTGAGAGAATAATGTTTTAAAAAAAAGGTCTCCTTCAACTTCAGCGAAAGTATCCATCAGTATTTCGAGTAAAGGATACAGAGTAGCTGAGGGAGGACAAAAATCCCTATGATGCTAGGCAGTTATACTAAAACCTAGTGCTAGCAGTAATGTTCTGCGAACTCAACATTAATTGAAAAACAAGTGGATTGTAACCCACCAGGAGATGCATGTACCTACGCTGTCCATTTAGGATACTGTTGACAGTGGTTGCATCCATTATGAGGTGAAATACTGGTTTGGTAAAATGTATTTCTAAGGTTGTAGTGTTAGCACAGACTTAAATCTTTCCTACCACGTTTGCACCCTGCTCTTAAATAACAGAACAGAAATGGAGAATTGAGCAGTCTCTTTAGCCACAGTTCAAAGAGAGTGAAATGCAAAACATAATAAAGATGTAGGTAGAGATCATTTATGACTCCAGTACTGCGGAAGGCATGTTTACAATGCATTGATACTGCATTGTAGGAATGAATACCTCAAGTAACTGAAGTGTAACCAACTGCACTGAAGCTGCTGTAGCACTGAACTTTGCATGAGCTCATTTACCCTGTTTTTTCAGGGAGGTAAATCAGTGAAGGTGGAAATCTGTACTACTCCATCTACATTGTAAACATGAACTGAGCTAGCCCCTATTTCTACAAGGTATCACATTGCATACTGTGTAGGAGGCATAATCTAAGGTTTTAGTAGAACTAAGGAAACTGACATCTAAAGGCATATTCACTGTACAGATATTTCTTTTATACACAAATCAATTGTCCTCTCATCTGTGCCAGAATTAACAGTGTGAAGTACGAGAGTATCCTAAAAAATATTTAAGAGAAAGAAAGAGCATCAGAACTCGCTTGTTCAAACACTGTGTGTCAGCTGCTGTTACAGTGCTTTTAGTGGTCATTTTTACTGCTACATTAACAATTGGATGGGGGGGAAAATTTCTTCTATTACAAAAAGTTTACACCTCTGTACAGGAAACTTTCAAGCAGGCCAATTTGTCTTATCTGGCACCCCTGTCAGAAGATACACATTAGGAAAGCACACTTGCCTTCTTTCTAACAGTTCTGTACACATCTGATAGAGATACAGACCACTATTGGAAACAGGATATTGGCTTTATGTGTGTTTTTGGACTAAATAAAGTATTTTTTCTGAAGCTTGTTATACCAAGAAAACTAGTCTAGACTATTAAAGCTTACTACCTCAACTTAACTTTATGTGGTAGACTTTAAAATTCCTTCAGCTTTAACATTACTTCCAAAAACCCAGCATGAGCGACTTAGTTACATTTATACTAATAGACATGGGAAATATTTAGCCAGTTATTCCTCTACTGATTTGTAGAATGTCATAAAATATACTTCTTATACATTTTAAGAATAATGAAGATCAATTATGGCTAGGATAAAATAACTGCATAGTTAAACTGTGATTTGGCTTTGTTTTAATTACTCAGAGCCTGAACAAGCGCAGAAATCACTGGCAGTCACAACATTTGGACAGCAATGTTACTATGGTGAGTAGAATTCATAACTGCTGTGGTTTTTGTTCCAGTCATTAAATCCGTGATTAATCTTGCTTTACAGTTTAATGCAACAATGTATGAATATTATCAAATCTTCTCTTCAGTGTCTTCAGGATAACAATATTTCACAGTTTTCATTTATTTTTATTTACTTCAGCCAAAATCAGAGGATGAAGAAGGCTGGAAGAAGTTCTGCCTGGGTGAAAGAGTATACTTAGAAACAGATGCACTATCTGATAATGAAAATCTAGGAATTGATTACATAAAGGTGAGTATAGGACTTCTATCTAATTTTCAGCTGCTATTTTCAAGAATAACTACCAGAAACAGTCCTACTGTTTATTACCACTTTGTGCTAAAGAGAAAGTAAGCTCTCTGTTGAGCCCAGAAAGCCCCCTTTTTCTTGCCTTTGAAGTGAAAATGGAGTGAAGCAGAGAACAAGTCTATTCCTTCAGTCAAAAAGTTGAAGAGTTCCTTCATCTATTATCAGCTAAAGTACACTACTTTGTTGCTCACTGAACAGAAAGCTTTCTGCATAGTCTGCTTTAGTGTTTTGTTGAATGGCGATACATGGTTCCTCTGCTCATACATGCTATCCTATGAATATGCCATTTGCTGCATTATTTTGAAAAAGCAAAACTTTAAACGAATAACAGTAAAAGCAAGGTTCCTTGATACCAAGTTTGACTGGACCTTATCTTGAACTTGCTTGAAGATTATTTTTAATGGATTTCAAAGCTCAGAACAGACTTTCAAATCACTACAAGTGTCTGAGCATCACATTAAAATGTTAGTATGTTCTAAGTTAGAACAAAAATGTTTATGATAACATCTGCATTTTCCAACTTGATTTTTTTTCAGGTGGGCTTTCCCCCTTTGCTAAGTATTGTAAGCAGAATGAATCAGGTAAGCCTACCTCTTAGACTCGCATGGTGACATTGTATAAATCACTATTTCTCATATTCTGTATGTTGCAGAAGTCTTATCTATTTTTCTGTGCTAGAGCAGGCAATTGTTTATTACAAGTGCTATTCACTGTATATTTACAAGGAAAACACATAATCATTATCTCACCTTCAGCTACAAACAACTTTACTAGTAAACAATTATCATGACTAGTTTTAAGAGTATTTTGTCCTTGTAATTTCTCTATGGAACACTTAATGTTTGAATTTTTGCTGAATGCCCCATTAGGTGCTTGACAGTGTTTTAAGATTTCTCATGTCGTGTTTTAAGTGCAGTCCTTTAACTTGATTGGGAACTCTTATGTACATTGCAAGGCTAGAAGCAGCATACTTACTTTTCCTTTACTACTATGTTTCCCAATAGTCACCTTTATACAGAAACAACCAGTCAGTGTGATGCCTCTTTCCTAATCTGTAGCTCCTTATCCATAACTTTTTGTTAACACAGAAAATTACTTCATTTTTTATAAAGTTCTTTCCAGGAACTGGTGCTTTAACACTTAATTTACCCTTATGTGTAACTTCAACTTGGAATAAATACCATATAGTATCATAGTGGAGTAGAAATACATAATGTGTATATTTTTTAAAATCACATTGCTTTTTATATAATACAATATAATCCTTCAGATAGAAGGACAACAAAACAAAACATTGCAGGTATTGTATTGTCTCTTTCTGTTCCTCTTTTGAAGGCAACAGTAACCAGCGTCTTAGAATACCTGATAAGCTGGTTTGGAGAGAAAAAATTTACTCCAGAACTGGTAATTTTTAATTTACTCTAACTACTTGCACATGAATGCATTAAACAAGGGATAAATTGTTCATAGTTTTCTATGAAATTATTTTCATTTCTAAAGAGTTCTCTAGATGCATGTATCATATTCAGTTACTCCCAAAATTTCCTTGATTAGACACTAAAATGAGTATTCACAGAACTTTTTGGAAGGCTAACTACAAAGCATAACAGATACAGAACTATCAAGTATTGTCAAAAGCCCCTCCCCTTTTTATCGCTCCCCACACAACTTAAACCACACAGTTAGAGTATCAGCGCTGGAGAGAGAACAGGGTCAGACTGCAGCAGTTTTCATTCTGATCAGTTTAAGCTGTCAGGGTGCTGCACACTATATTTACTGACACCTCTATTTTAGTTTGGAGATGCATGACAGTGTGCTGGCAAAGACACATTTAAGCTTTCCATGTGCAGCACAGACCAGAAAGTTTAGCTGTATTAGTGTGGTGACAAATCAAACCTAATAAAAAAATTCTGATTGACAGGGTACATTAGCACGTAGTTTGGCCACAGCTAGATTGACTGGCTACGTAATGCCATCATATCTACAAAAGACCTTGGTGGATGCATCCCATCTCATTCAGTACCATAAAGGAAAAGCGTAATGAAAAATTACTTCCATAATACTAAACACAGTTTCACTATTTTTAAGTCACTTAAAGGCCTTTCATGTTCTGTCCTTTTCTGTAGGACTGTTTTCTTTTTAACCAATATGCTGCAGAGAATGTGCACATTGACTTTTAGTTTATGCACATAATGAAAGCCACTAGACACTGGAATTAAATTAAGAAGTTAGACTGGTAGCAGAAGTTACGTTTGTAAGAATGCTGTAGAATTCAGTGAAAAAAAATGCAAAGGATGTGTTTTCACAGTGGTGCAAATCTTAAAGCTGATCTAATGTCTTTAATTCCACAAAGATCTGTCTTGATACATTCACTCTTCAGGAATGTTTTTCCACAGTTTGTGAAGTTAAAAATTAATAGCTAAGTAATGATCTTTAGATATTGCTAAAATAATCCCTCACACTTTAATAGTGTAAGCTGTATTAATTTATATCTTGGCCAGTATTCTAAAAAATATCAGGAAATCTGGGAGTACTGCTCACAGAAGCTTATCTAGAGGCACAAAATTCTACTGTGTAGTGTCTAACTTGGCTTTCAAATTTTTCAATTCTGGCAGTAGCACTTAAATGCAATTTTGTTTTGAGACCTACACTCCAGGCCTGCTCTATATAACAAGAACTGTATGAAACTTCAAGGAAATGCTCGTAATTAAAACTTTGTTATTTGAATCCACACAGGGTAGATGGCTTTATGCACTGTTGGCATGCCTTGAAAAACCTTTGCTACCTGAAGCTCACTCCCTTATTCGACAGCTGGCAAGACGATGCTCAGAAGTCAGAATATTAGAGGCAAGATTTAATACAACATTGCGCAAAGGACTTGCTGAACTAGCAAATTATTAGAAGGATGATTTTTCAGTTCTTGAAGTCTTGGCGAGCAATTTTTCATGTCCTAAGTTTGCTCGAGAACGAAGGGAAGACTACAAGCACGTAACATGGCATTTAACAGCTTTTCTAGTTGACACACATAACAAAAGAACTATTCTAATATTTATTTCTCTTTCAGGAGAACAAGAATGAAGAACAAATATCAGCTCTGAACTTGATAATCTGCTTAGTTAGCAGGTAACGCAACTTAAATACCTAAAACAGTAACGTACGTCCAGAATAAATGTGTGATTACTCTTGCCCTAACCTAGACTGTTTTAAAATGGAAGCCAGTGAAAGTACCCTGGGCCTATGTAGTGAATATACTTAGCTAAAAGGACTTAAGATAAACCTAAGAGTAAAGTAAGCTTATTGGTTTCCTCAAATTAGCCCCCTGAATTGGAAAGCTGTAATTATGACAGAAACAGTAAAAGAGCTAGAAAGCAAGGCGTCTAACAACTCAGAGCAAAGGAAGGAGTATGTTCACTTAGAAGTTTCTTACCTTACCTTTCTTCCACTTCTCTCCACTAGGTACTTTGATCAACGTGACTTGGCTGATGAGCCTTCCTAGGCTGTTTTGAGAATACCAGGTTTTCGCGTTGCCATAGTACAAACGGCATTATCAGAGTTAACAGGAAGACGCTGCACTGTTCAGACCTGAAGTACTATACAACCCCTTCAGAACACCCTCACGATAATGCATTTGGGACAGCTATGAATAACTGAAGCTGAGCTTTAGCGTGAGATTGCCAGTGTCTCCGGTATCATCATCACCATCATCGTAGAATGGTCAACAAAGTGTCTGGCATCATCTCTCAAGCTACTATCTCTGTAAACTACATTCTTGGTTAGAAATTTCTACCATTTGAGTAATCCTGTGGACACTCCCATTAGGTGAAGTCTGAGGTTATATTACAAATGATTGTTCTTTATCTAACACAGACCTACTGAGGGCTTTTTTAATAAAACTGAAGCATTTTAAAGAGTGTCCTTAAATATTATGGCTTTTCTCATTCTTCATACTATTTAACAGCAGCCTTACTATAGAAATCAACACAACTAGGACTGAATGTGTTTTTTTCAAGCTTTGGTTCCTGAGCTTAAGTACTGCTAAGCCGTTCAGCTATAGCCAGTAAGTTACTGAAACAATTATTTTAGTAAAACATAAACATTACTAGTAGTAATACTATTTTTTAGTAAACAGTTGTAGAAACCAGTAAAAATTACACAGCTGTATTCAGTGCTTTTAATAGAAGTATTTATTAAACAGAATGAACAAGTTCTTTTTGGTATGCTATCTTGACAAATACATCAGCTCGCCTATTTTTATATTTAATGTGGCGTGCTTCGCCAAGAGTATCAGCATCTGCTTGGTACATACATGACTCCCTCTGGTTCTAATTATCTTTCACAATTAAGAATCCATGTTAAGAGGAACTATGAATTCTGCTGACAGCAGCAAATTGATACACAGTATTAACTGATATCTGCTTTCTGTATATTGTAGAATTGAAGTCCCTCCCTTTGCTATCAAAAAGAATCATTAACCACAACCTGCTATTAACTGACCTTCAATATGTCTTTGAATGATTGGCACTTTGGCATCTGGAATGGTAGTCTTAACTGTCAAGTGAAAAGTCAAAGTGAATTACAATAACTACTAGAGTTTTAATTCTGGAGATGCAAGTAATGATTCTGTATATGTTGATACCAAATGTCTACCACATTGCAGATGCCTAAAATTAAAAAATGTCCATCTATTAGATATACAGTGCAAATTATTTCTAGTCTCTTTAGAAACATTTTCAGCATGTTGAAAGCACGATGAGTTGGCAACTGAAGAACCCATGAAATGCAAGAATACTAGTTAGCTAATTCTCTAGCCCTACAATTTCAAACAAATTGTGAGTTACAAAGGTGAACAACCACAGCCTTTCTATAAACTACCGGTATAAGAACCCAGCATTTTCAATCAGCTGAACAGCTGATCCCCACTGAGTACCATACTACTGTAGTTACTTTGATCTTGTGCTAGTTCTATAAACAGTAGGAGGGACAGCATTCTGCTACTTCAAGTTCTAGATGTTTTCTACAACTGTCAAGTTATTCAGCTACAACTAATCTGAACTAGCATTCACAGTACCTGAAAAGATCAGAATTTGGTCACATCTTCAGCTCAAGTATAATAAACCCCTGGTCATTAGATTTATCATCTATCACTTGCCAGCTTGTAACAGCTATCCAGAAAAGGCTTGATCCATTACAAATGGCGGACCTTCCCTAGAGCTTAGGGAAGAACAGCTTCCACTGTTCTTGCCCACCACAAAACTGGACAGCATACACTTCTCCCAACACAGAAGGGAGTTAGTTACAACAATCAAAGGTGCTATTTTAATATCCTAGCTTTTCTAGTCAGCCTGTTACTTACTGGTCTCAAAGGAGAAACTTAATCACTATCACAAGGAATTCTCACACTTCTGAATAAACACTGTAAGTTTCTATTGTGATTCATTTGAAAGTATAAGGCCTGAACCTGCCAACAGTAAAGTCCTACAGCAAAATTCGTTAAAAGTTTTAACAAGATGTTTTCATGCTTACCTACAGCAAGATATGTATTATTATGCAAATCTTGTAACAAGTAGTATCTAGCAAACCCCAATGTCCTCAAGAGTCTTGGTGATGACTTTACAGCTTCTTGCAGGCCTAATCATCTTCCTGCACACTCATTACAGAAGTGAGTTGTAGCTAGCAATTAAAAACAATTACATTAACGTTGAGTTTATGCACAACAAGCTAAAACAAATTTCCTTCTTTGGCCAGTATAGATGACCTTAGCTGTAGAACTATTCTGACACAAAAAACAGCTGCTAATTTTAGGGAGGTAGCAGAAACAATGTTTAACTATGTAGAAGTTCTCTTTTCTACTACCCCATATCATTCCTGCAAAGGAACTAAGCCTTCACGGAACACCGTTAATGAAGGCTGTTGGTTCATGTGCTACTGGCTTCCTCAGAATAATACAAAAGCAATCACTGCCTCACAGTTCAGAGTGAATAGGGTAAGGTAGTAGTTGAGTATTCATGTTAGGTGACACAAAACACATTAGTTTCTTATTCCAATTTAGTCTTCCTCAGGCTTTTACTCTGTCCTCAGAACATGCCTCTCATCTTCCACATGTGCTATTGTGGTAATTGAAATATTTCGCTAAAAACTTTTGAGTAGACAGTCTTTACCATGTGGACATTAATACCTTGGTATAGAATAAATTTCATACCAAGATAAAAGGATAGTAAGTTCTTTTGATGAACATTTATTATATATTTTGGAATTGTGCTGCAGACTGCTGTAATTTACAAGCTACATACAAGGCTGAACCAAGATACTGAATCCACACACACAAAGGATTTTTAAGGTAGATACCCAGATTTGAATGTGCTCTACATCTTCTGTATCATCACCTGAAATTTACCTGCAAAGAAAAAGCAAAGTCAGGTCAAAGTATCACCATTAGAATTATTTTTCCAAGCAGTTATTTTCTTGTAGTCATTTTGTTAAAAGAAATAGTAAGGAATATTTCAATCTTATAGTTCAATTGTGAACAATCTAGCCATTATTTAAATTTAGCATTTAAATTTAACTCCAGCTGAACATTTCTTTTGTTCTTTTCTTTTTTTCTTTAAATTGATCCATGTCCCACATCACAACAGTTTTGTCAGCTAAATTTAAAACTGGTGCAAAGTCTGTGGAAAGTTTTAAATCCACCTTAAGCAGCTTGGGTAGTTACAACGGACTTCACTTACTAACTTTCTTAATGACTTTTGTAGCAGAAGAGCATGTATCTAGTCGGTTTTATCTTCACTTGTTCAAATAGCCTTCTGGACGTATATCCTTATGCATTTGATGCTTCCAAATGTAAATACAACTTTTTAGTTTTGCTTTCCACTCAGTATCATGGAGGTTCACCCTCTGTCAGTGTTTTCTATACATTTATTGACAAGCCATATCCTGAAGTTCATATTGACTCCTATAGCCCAGCAGCTTCAAACTAATCCCACCTTGATAAATGCTTACATAGTGAAGTCGTCAGTAAGGAAAGTTACCAAGTAAGCTAATAACTGAATACTCTGAGAACTACTTACATGCAGGCATTGATGAAACTTCAGCTGTTACAATACTCTTTATTCCCAAATTCGATAGGCCTCCTCTGATTAGTCCACAGGTAAATGCTAAATACTAAATACAAATTTGCACTTTAAATAAGGTCAAGGATGAAGCTTGTTGCTAAAGGCTGAAACTAAATACTCAAGAACAAGAGTTTACACTTGGACCATATAAAACTATGGAGGTTTTACTACCATGCTTGAGACTTTGTCATGTCCCTAGTAGCTGAAAGCTCTGATATTTGATACACAAGAGTTCACAATACAGATTTCTCCTGTTAGATGTACTATCTTGAATCACCCATTTCTATTTCCATTAAACCTGTAAGAACTTAACATCCTTAAAACAATTATTCCCAAGACTCAGGTGAAATCAGCAACTGGTAATAAAGTCAACAAAGGAGAAACAGTCCAAGATAGCATTCTTGCACAGACCGCATCTCAGAATACAAGGGCCTGTAGATATTTAAAATGTATGTTGTTGCAAAACATCTCGCCAAACACCAAAAAAAATCCCAAGGACAGTAGCCTGCAACTGTGATAACGATGAAGAATTAAGACACCGTAAAATGGAACTGAATGCCCCATTTCTTACATCCACCTGAACCAAAGTCCTTTACAAGAGGTTCTGCAGAGGCATTGATTTTGTATCTACACTCAAAACTATTTTTAATCGGTGGAAGATCTTTCTGAATGTTCATATCATCTCAGAAGCTCGTTCTAGATAACAAACAGCATCTTCCAAATATGTTATGGAAATTTTAAAAAAGCTTCTGAAAGCACATGCTTTCCAGAGAGAAAGAATTTATGCAATAGTGGCAGATAGTGGCGGACCAGCTCCTACCATCAAGTAACTCAAACATGACAACAGCAAGTTTCACGACAACCATGGTAACTTCTTGAACTATAAATCAAACCCAGCGTTCCGAAACAAGGTGCCTTTCTAAAAAGCACAAGTTTTGGAGGCTAAACTTCAGCTGCCCTTTTGAAGAGTTTTTAGCCATTCAATTACAAAATTTAAAGTTGTTACTATTAGTAGATTAAGATAATTCAAATCAAACTGGTAAATCTCAAGGATAAAACTGAAGGATACCTTTGGTGCATGTTCTAAATACTGCTTTCCTGCAGATATTTGTGTCAAGAGACGAAATTTATTGTCTTGAAGGACATAAATACCCTGGTTTTTTTAAAAAAAAAAAAAATGTTTAGCTGAATATGCAGTAACATGTAATCAATGTTTTATGTGAAGGTATTTGATTTGTAGATACAATATAAATATTCTCAGTTTGAAAAATTAAATTTTAGATTAAGGCATATGTGATTTAAATCTAAACCATATTATTTACTTACATGAAATACCAAAACAAAAGAAAAGATACTTAATTGTGAGTTTACAACAAAACCCCTAGATAGTAATACAATCAGTTAACTCTAAAAACCATTTGTTTACATTCTTCTTGGAATAATCCTTCCAGTTCTCAGAAACAATAGTTCCATATTAGAAAGTCTCTGTCAATATACCAAATGCATGCTGACTTTTACATTCAAATCTTAATCTTCATTTGGTATGCAATCCACTATTCTTATTCTCAAATTAAGTGAGAATAATCTTTCCACATTACAATTTTGTGCCACAATATGCATTTTAATAAACTAAGTATGAATTTTAACAATATAGCTTAATCTACACCTGTCATTTTAATTTCTTTGCTAATGACTGTGCTACTTTGGAATTTCATAACTCTTGAAATTAAATTAACGCCGCATACAATTGAGATCTAAGCTCAATACTGCAGCTTTCTTTGAATTCAAAACCAGATTTTCAAGGTAATTATTATCTGTTAAAGTTATTACTTTGTAAACAGCTCACTGAAAAATAAAACCTATTTGATTTGGCACAGTTCTTAAACAAATTCTCGTTTGTACTCTGATAAAACAGGAAAATGGCCATAAGGGAACCAAGTCATTCAATAGGAAAAAGATGTTTTACTCTAGTAAAATGGCTCCTTAAATTATTTTGATCTTGCTTTAAGAACTATGGCTGCTGATATAGGAAATGACATAGATACAATGCAATGTCACCAACATGCAAATTTGGGAAGCTTTCCAGCTATTTCTTATACAAGTATGTTCAGTAGAGTGCAACTAAGTGTCTCAACTGCTGAAAACTATAAATATTCTTCAAAATAAAAAAAATTACTTCAAGGCAGCCATCCTATTTAAATAGATATTAAGACAGCAATATCACTTTCTCACACTAGTCTTCTACTAAAATTTGTTGGGAGATACATAAAAAAGTTCCTGTTTAAGTGTTAATCTACTGTAACTGTTACTGTCCTGTCAGTTTGTTACTCTGCAACAGTGCACATGAAATTCAAAGCATTTAGTCTTTTCTAACGAGGTAGCAATAAAGACATCACAAGCAATTATTGAGTTGTATTCTGAAACTACATGCTAACATGAACCTTAAAAACCTGCTTTTTTAAAAAAACAAATAAAGAACATTTGGGTCTCTTATCAGGTAATTAATTCTAGACCAAGAAAAACAAAAAATGCACTAGTAACTCAAAACTGTTACTGATTTTGCAAGTTAAATCTTATTCTATAGCATTAGTACCTGATGATTAGTCCTTAGGTTATCTATTTGTTTTTTGAATACAGTTGTCCAAAAGTCTTTGCAAATGAACTTCATAATATCTAATTCATCCTTGAACCTGGCCGTATCTTTTGTAAACCTAAGAGATAAGTGAGAAATATATTAATAATGAACATACACAGAACTTGACAGATTAAACAGAAAAAGAAAATACAAAAAAAATGGTACTATGCAACGTTATTTTTGAGGCTGTTATAGAAATTAATTTCCCAGCTATCGTACAGTATCATTCTAGCATCGTTCTGCATTCATCATGTATTTTAACTTAAAGAGCAACACAGGTGATCTGAATACCTGCAACATGATAGTGGAATAAATGGCTTTAATTAGATTATTATTAAAGACAGCTGAAGTACAGAAAGATGCAAAGCACTTATCAGTTTTATCTTCAACTAAATGTCTAAATAGAAGATAAACAAAAAGTTCACACCTATGCTGCTGCTTGGAAGGACTCCTTCAAATATGCAAAAAAGCACTAACATACAGGAATAAACATGTAAAACTTGTTCCTGTTTCCCAAAGAAGAACCTCTTTCTCTTGCTTATTTCAGAATTCTCTCCCTTTATCCTCCTTGAGGGTCTTTATCAGTCACTAAAGCACCACTTTGTTCAACGAAAGCATGACTTCAGAAGCTCAAGAGTCTCCACACGACCTCAGAATGAGGGCGCTGAATGTTGGATGGGCAGAAAGTCATCGTGCATCCCCAAAGGGCCTGCGGAAATAAGGAGGTAATGTGCGTGCTCGGTCACAACGTTCCAAGGACTGAGAGTGCTTTAGGAAAACGAAATAGAGTAGCCAATCATAAAATAATGTTTAAAAAAGAAATTAGAAAGAGAAGAAAATCATGAAATGTACCAGAAGTAGGAAACATTGAAAAGTAGGTCTACAAAAAGTGCAATTAAGGATTTTAACTATTAAAAATAACCATATACCCTGACTCAGTTTTCATGACGGAAAGCACTGGGAAAATACATACTCCAAAACTATCCTGTGGTATTCAAACACAGGCCCCCACAAGAACGAGAAGCCAAGAGCGGATGCCAGAACGCCTAATAAGAGGATCACATCCGCAGCTTAGCCCTCTGTCCACTCAAAGCAGCGAGCAGCTTTCCACCGAG